TATTTTTATTGATTTTTTTAGAGAGAGGAAGGGAGAGGGACAGAGAGAGAAACACTGATTAGATGCCTCCTGCATACCCCCTTCTGGGGATAGAGCCTACAACCCAGGCATGAACTTTGATTGAGAATCGAACCGGCAACCTTAGGTATACAGGACTACACCCAACCAACTGAGCCACGCAGGTTGGGGCCTGACTCACTTTATCTTGAGAGCCTCTAGAGCAGTGCCTCAGAAATCATCTGGGGTGAAAGATCATAAAACATAGAAACAATTTACTAGAAGGAAATAAATACGAAAACAAAGATATACACAGCAATACAAGACCAAAATTTTTATTAGATTGGACAAAATAATTCATGTTAAATTGCTATAAAAGTTTCTAAATTCTTACTCTCAATTTCTGTAAATGCCTTGTCATGAACCAATAACAAAGGGTTTGCAGACTGGCATTGGCCTGTAGACCACTGACAAAAACCAGACTTCTAAATCGAAAGGGCTAAGGTCTGAGTCTGAAATGTGGGCACTCAACTGAAGGGTTGCTCCTGGTTCTGAGTCAAAAGCTGGAAACCCAGTGGCCTTTTTCTAGCATCAAACACAACAGTGTAACTCCCTACTTCAAAAACTATCCACAGTTCCTTTTGTTTTTAGGGTAAAATCCTAGTCCTTTAACATGGCATTAAAGGCCTTCCCAGGCAGGTTCCAACACAACACTTTTAGTCTGATTTTCCACTATTCTCTACTCCATTAGACTCCACAGTGCAATATAGTAGCAACTAGGCACTTGTGGCTACTGAGCACTTGAACTGTGGCTAATTTAGGAACTGAAATTGTAATTTTAACTTTAGTTTAAAATTATATTAAAAATCTGATACATAATTCAATTACTGCAAAACTTTTAAGCATGTTGTCTTGGGTATGTGAATCTACTTTTTAACTGTAAATCTTTATGAAATCAAGTATTGAGATATGCTTGTCAGGTAAAATACACATGAGATTTCAAACAGTAATGAGAAAAAGAATGTAAAACATTTAAAAATATTTAATACTTAATGCTGATCACATAGGAAATACTTTTTTTTGGATAAATTGGGTAAAATAAAAAACTATTAAAATTAATTTCAACTGTTCTTTTTACTTTTTTAATGTGGCTACTATAAAACTATGTATGTGGCTTATATTTATATTGGACAGCTCTGGTCTAGACAACCATGCCCTAAACCTTGGAATCACTTTTTAAAATATATATATATTTATTGACTTCGGGG